GGAATATACATCCCTAATATAATCTGTTCAGTCTATGTAGTACCACCTGTATGCATGTTTTCAGTGCTGACTATTTGTGCTCTTCCCCGGGGAAGGCCACCTCCTGCATTCTCATCAGTTGCCTATAGTTCTTTGTCTAGAGCTGAGGCCTCACAGGCTTTCTTCTGTCCAACTTGGCATGTCCATTGGTGTCATCCTTGTTTGGCTTACATTTGGGTAGCTGTGTTGGTGATACTCTGTGGGTGTAGCTTCTGATACCACTTGAAAACACAATTTCACAGCAAACCCCGATCCTCTGGTTCTTACAAATTTTCCTCCTCCTCTTCTGCCATGGTTCCCGAGCCTTAGTTGCAGGCATGCATTTTAGATGCATCCCTTGGAACTGGATCCTTCCTATTTTTCTTTCTTTTTTAAAAAATGTATTCATTTAATTTAGAAACAATCTTATTTTACATATCAATCCCAGTTCCCTCTCCCTCCCATCCTCCCATGCCCCCCACCGACCGACCTCCCATCCACTCCTCAGGGAGGGTAAGGACTTCAATGGGGGATCATAAAAGTCTGTTACATCATTTGGGGGAGTTCCTAGGCCCTCCTCCATGTATCTGGGCTGAAAGAGTATCCCTCCATGGGGAATGGGCTCTCAAAGTCCATTTGTGCACTAGGGATAAATACTGGTTCCACTGTCAGAGGTCCCATAGACTGCCCAGGCCTCCTAACTGACACCCACATTCAGAGGGCTTGGTTTGGTCCAGTGCTGGTTCCCCAGCTTTATGATAACAAACATGCTCCAGGGAAATAAGGGAAGCAATCTCATTTTAAAATGCCTCTTAGACTTCTCCTTTGAGGAGTGGTAGCTACAGTTATCTGTGTGGATACGGATAATCATTAGAATGTCGTAATAACGCTGGTCTAACAAAGAGACAGTAGTAGAATCCTTTCTAAAGTCCATGACCTCACCAGCCCCAGAAAGCTGGCTGGGTTTCCCGCTCTGGCCATGATTTCCCTGCTGTTGAATGTGTCCTAAGTCCAGTTAGACAGCTGTTGTTTACCACTGATGGGAGAGTGCCACCTACTGTCCCATGCATATCTTGACATGCCGGTAATTGTCATGATTCACAGATGTTGCAGCCTGGTGGGACTGTTTAACTGCTTCCCTCCCTTGGGCTCTTGCATAGAATTTTCTGGAACCATGGAAGCTAGACTGCATAAAAGAGGTTTTCAGGTCAGACCAAGCTCAAATCTTCTGAATCTTGTGTCCTAAGCGTGTGGTGTCTTCAGCAATAGTGGTCCATCTTCAACCCCCAAGAGGTAACCAAGAAATATATTGATAAGCCATATTGTTTTGGGAGTAACTTGGGCTCCCCTGACCAACCATTCCAAACGAGATTATTGCTGGCTTAAGGTTTTTAAAGACTAGATAGATAGATAGATAGATAGATAGATAGATAGATAGATAGATAGATAGAAGTAGATGTCAGATGATAAATACATAGAGATATCATATATAGTTTTATATAGTATATAATCATATGTAGTTATATGTAGTTTATAATATATCTTATATACTGTATAATTTTAGGTAAATGTACAATAATACTTTCCTTGAGGATTTACGAGCAGCCTTGGTATCATTTGTGCCTCATCCCTCTTTTTCCTTTTGTACTGACCCCCCCAGCTGGAAACTCCTCCATATTCCTAAAACTTTCATGCAGAATCAACAACAGATCATAGGGGTGACAGCATCAATGGCTATGTCAACATCACAACTCCTGCGTCTGTGGCTCCGGGAACTTACCTGGAGGTTGGTGGATGATTTAGGAACTTTGGCCTGGGAAAACCATCAAGTGTTCAGGGCTTAATCCTAAAAGTGTGTGAAGAGAGAGGAATTTATACACCAGTGTGGACATTATGGAAATCCAAATGAAGGTTTATTAATAAGCTAGAAACAAAACTTCCAAATGATCTGGCTATACCACTCCTGGGCATCTACCCAAAAGACTCCACATGCCTCTACATAGATACCTGTCCATCCAAACTAATAACTACTCTATTAATAGTACCACAGAAATGGCATCAGGCAAAATGCCCACCAATATATGAATGGATTATGAAAGTGTGGAGCCTATCTTCTAATTTTTATTTATGTCTATCAGTGCGTGAGAGAGGGAGACTAGAAGCCCAGAATTAAACAGGAGCTCAGGAGAGGGAGTAGTATTTTCAGGAGAAGATAAGCATATAATTAAATCTCAATAGCTGGCATCTATGCTTTATATAAAATCCAAAAGGTCAGTACTGGTTTAATTAATGTCTAAGTATTAATGAGAGATCTTAAATTCTTGACAATGCTCTGTTAGAATTCCTGTTTGCATTTATAACCATATATAGTTCTTCTGATGACATTGAAGAACTGTATTCTGTTTCTGTACTATTTCATGCATTTAACCATTTCTTATGAGATTCATTTCTGTTTTGATCTTGGTGCCTATCACCTCCTATTAGCTCTGAATATGTAAATTTAAGCCCTCTAGTAAAGAAAACACATCAAAATTCCAGGCATGTTTTCTTACTCCGGTGTTTATTTTGTCTGAATGGGAGCAGCAGATGATACTCTTAGACATACCATGGGAAATTTGCCATTAGAGGACAACAACACATTTTATATCCTTCAATGCAAAACCAGCAAATCTGTGCTTCTACCTCATCTCTCTCTCTCTCACCACACACAGCTTAAACATGTCCTTCCACAGTAAAAGAAAACTCAGCGAAGACACAAGTACAAGCCTTTCTTCCTTCACATCATAGAGACCACAGTTATGATGATATACTCTTCATGTAATTGATAATGGCATTTAAAATGTTCCTGGAGCAGGGAAAAGAGAAAGGCTGCTTATCAAACAGAACCATGCATCCGTGAAAGCCGTCCTCCACATGGTACCAGGTCACAGGGACCCCCTGGTCTTCCAAGTGCTTCTTGTAGAGCAAGGTGTCATTACAGAGGGGGTCATTCTCACAGCTCACCAGGAAGGCCTGGGGGAGCTGGGCAATAATCTTGTCATCTGCTAGAAGAGGCGAAATCTTTTCATCCAAAATATGTTTGGTTTCCAGATAGGCAGCCTCGTTGAAAGGTCCCAACTTGGGCTGGAAACTTTTGCTCCTGAACTTTTGGGGAATGTTGTCAGAGCTGACCCATTTCTTGTATTTCTTCCAGGCGTTCAGGGACACACAAGCTCCTGTCAACATGACATCTTTCCAAGAAAGGTCAATGTCCAGGTATTTGCAAATAAATGAAATCATTAAGTCTCTGGTAAGAAATGGCACGTTTCGTTTCTGCAGATGTGATGGTAACTGGAAATTGAGGACCTGCACAATTGGAGTAATCAGGACTTGAGCCTGCATCTGGGGGAGATTGGCTTGACTGACCAAAGTCTGAGTGACAAGGGCCACAGTCCAGCCCCCTATACTCTCTCCACAGAGCACTACGCGTGAGGGGTCTACCCCACAGGTTTACAGGTCCTTCAGGGAGTGGATGGAGACATTCAGGCAATCCAAATAAATAGCAGGATGATGATGGTCAGGAAGCCTACGGTACCTAAGAAGCATGAACAAGATGCACTTGCATACACACAAGTCATGGGAGATCACTACACACAGCATCCTCTACTCTCACAGGAGACCAAACGTGATCTTCAGAATGACCCTCATTAAAGATGTCTGTCTCCACTTCTCTTACATGGGACTTGAAGAAACCTGTATAGAGTCAAGAAAACTAGGAATTTCCACTCCAGTCCATACCCTGCTTCATGGATGAACACACAGAACCAGGTAAATCCAAAGCTGTTGCTCTGGGAGGCAGGTAAAACAGTAAGTATCTAGAGAAGGCAACTGACACTTTGCTGGCCCCACCTTTGCTTGGACTCATCTCTCCCTGATGTGTTGAGCTTGGTAAAAATCGCTGCCAGCTACTCTTGAGGTATTTTATTGACTGCTTTAGTGGGAAAGCTCCTTTATTTGAGCTGGTTACAGAGAGGTGGGGATACTGGCAATGGTGACATCAGACCAGTGGTTTCAGAGTGATAGCAGAGGCAGAGGCAGAGACATTTGGGAGACAAGGATGACACCAGTGGAGGCAAAGCCACGAGGACCATGGATGGCCAGGCCAAAGGGGCAGCCGGAAGCCACTATAACAATAGTGGCAGACTTGCAGAAGCAGCCAGAAGCACTGACTAAGACAATGGTAGAGATGAGAACATGCTGGCAAGAGAGCAATAAATACCTTCCAAAGCATCATCCCAGCCCCCTCCATCTTCAACCTGACCTTCTGCTCACCACCCAAAAATGATACCACTCGGCTGCTAAAAGTGGAGCCAGGCTAAGGTCTGCATCCATTATCCCTGTCCCCACTTCAGGGTTCCAAAGGCTTATGTGGCTTTCTAGAATGTAGTCTTTGGGTTCTAATTAACTTCACAAAGAAATACAACCCTGTATATGACATTTTGAATAGGGATTGCCCATGAGTTTCCACCACTTAGGTTTCTTCATGTCGTGTGTCCTTCAGGTTCATTTCATGTACAGTGAAGTAACTCTGCATAGGGGTAGAGCGTTCTTTAATTTCATCCTCTACTGCCACTCATTCATGCACTCCACAGCAATGTGCATCCATGCAGGCATCAGATATTTTGCAGGTAGTGTATAGGGTATGAGAACAAGAAACCCCTGAAGGAAGGCTCCTTTTCTCTGGTCTCCATTCAAAAAACAAACCCACCCAACAAGCTCTCCCCTCTGTGAATAAGTCACCAATAGTCTCAGGCCACTCACCCCACCATCAACACCACTGAATCTGTCTCGAGGGCCATTGAGCTGCATAAGCGATGGTAACGGTCTAAAAGAAAAGACCCAGTGTTAAAGCAATGTGACAAAAAACAAGCACTTTCCACCACATCCCCCTGGACAGCAGCTACCTTGCTGGACCTAAACATGACATCTTCTCTCTGACATTCAGAGATGTTCGTGGCTACAGCATAGGAAGACCAGGAAGAGACACAAGTGACAAGATTGGAGAGGACACCAAGGGGGATGGGAGTAGTTCCAAAAGAGCAGTGACAAGCTCTGAAGTGGTTTTGGGACCCTTCTGGTGGGAAGAGAAGACAGGAGCTAAAGATGAGAAACGGTGCTAGGACACTGTGTTTTGGGTTCAGCAGTGCAGGGGAGGAAGTGAACGGATTCTCTCCACCATGTGTCAGCCGAGCTGAGGAGAGTGCATGCATTTGAGAGTGTTGTGAGAAGGCAGAAATGGCCAGAGCCATGAGTGGAGAGCAAAGGAAGGAATCATATCCAGTTCCAGGACAGCCCTACTCTGACACTCGGCCCCTATCTAGACTTAAACCAATATAGAAAATATTGTTATATAAGCTAAAAGCAATTAACTGGAATGAGCCCTGGGCTCTGCACCCATCTTCTCATTAGGAAGCTCCAACTTCTTCCTCCACTGACTCCCTCCTGACAAATCCTCATGAGACCATGTGCCTGATCCCACCTTTGATGAAAACCTTCCCCCTGCCCTCGAATGCCAGCTCCTCACCCAGGCTTCCAGTAAGTGCACCTCCTCCATGATAGAAGATGATGCCTCGCCGGGGTTGGGAAGACGCTTTCTTGGGCTTCAGCAGCCTCACAGGGATTGTCCCAAAATGCAAGTCAGTCACCAACACGTTAGGATCCTTATTTATCGGCATTAGGCCTTCGAGAAACTGTAAAAACCGGGGCATGGTGCAAATCCTCAGTTTCTCTAGTATGTTCCCCTGCAGTAGGTGAAGGGTGGAAAGTGAGGCGTAAGAGACAGTGGCGGGTGAGTGGCTGCTGAAGCCACTTAGCACTGCTCAGGTGTGCTCACCATTCCTCGCTGCCTGCTTTCTCCACATGCAAAGGGGTCGTGGGGACAGAACTCACTGTGCACTCTCTTCATATAGGGGCCTGTTGGAAATTTTCTTCCCACGAGGTCCTGAATGCTGCTGCTGCTGTGATTGGAGTGTTGGCCTCCCTGCTCAAAACTCACAGTGAAATTCCATTGTCAGTGTGAAGAGGTCGGCATTTCAAGTGGAGGTGATGTGGTCCCTCTTGAGTTACTTAAGTCGTTTATGAGGTGACTGTTATACGTATCTTCATAATAGGCTCCTGAGGATGGATGTCCCAGGTTTTTCTGTCCTATGAGTATAAGCATACCTTTCCTTTTCTACTAACAGGTGACTTAAGATGGACTATTGCTGGGATGACTGCTCTAGGGTTTCCCAAACTACAAGAACAGGTAAATCCTTGCTCTAGGATAAACCAAATTGCTTGAGGTGGTCACAGCAAGGCCAGAAATGGACAGAGATCCCATGGAAGTGCCTAAGGATGAGAGAGCCAAATAACTGAAATTGATAGAATAGTTTCATAGTATTAGACCTTGCTAATGCATAATTTTTAGTGTCTCTTTGGCTCCTGTATCTCAAGACCAATTTATGTTCACTTGGAACCACCAACAGTGTACCTTGAGAATCATACCCCACAGGTACCCTCATAATCCCACTATTTGTCATAGGATGGTGACCCAGGACCAAGCTTTATTACCCTACCCAATCTCAGAAAGAAAAAAAAAAACACTCCATTGCATGGAACAGATTGCTAACCCTTTAGTGTTCTATAAATTTAGAGTTAACCTAAATGGAATTCAGGTACACCTAAAGAATAGAGGATGGAGGGTGAGAGAGCAGTCCACACAGGATAAAAGGACCAGACACACCTGTCAAATTCTTGGGCTTGCTATGGTTCCATAAGACATGTATGCTACCTGACAAAGTAATTGAGAAAATCCTTTGACACCCAGCGTCTGCAAATACAAAAGACACCTCAGGTGTGGGCAAATTCTCACACCCCACCTTGCCCAAGTTTCCTGTCTGCTATACAACTTGGTGAAGACAGTGACCATATAGGACTGAGACAGAAAAGCAAAAGGGACATTTAATGAGGCTAAGATCATCTTTCTTTTTCTGAAGTCTTAGACCATTGTCGGACCGGCTAAAAAGCTGTGTGCACTTCTATGGCAGTGGGTTCAACAGATGTGGATGCAGTATATAAATGAGTCAACTTGATCCAAGAAAGACAGTAAGTACACTGTGTGGAACCTGTGCACTTTAGGGAAGGATGAAAATACTTCTGGGTGGACATCACTACAGGCGCCTTGCAATCATCTCCATGTAAGCAAGTGACTATCAAAGCCACTATTAAGCATCTCATTGTAAGGATTCAGGCATTATGCTGACCTGCCCCGTCACCTGGCAGAACGCATTCAGGCTGTACCCTGGTCAGCCCAGGTGCAAAGCACCCCCTTTAAAAGAAAGACCTCTGCCCACTTACACTCTCTTTCCACTCTTCTCTTTCCCAATCTCTTTCTGCTCTCTTTCCACACTCTTTCCCTCTCTCTTCCCTGCTGTTTCCCTGGGTCAGGCAAGACTTTTCCTGTCTCCCTCTTCTCTTCTGTCCTCTCTCTGTCTCTGTGTCTCTTTACCTCTTTTCTCTTTTGTCCCCCTTCCCTTTCTAATAGAATTTCTCACTTAAGCTGTCTGCCTGGCATGTTTGTCCCTCCATTTAGGTCATCGTCTCCTGCCACGGAATCCTCCAGCAGGGTTCCCCGCACGCTTTATCATAACACTTGTACAATGCGGTGGTAAAGGTGGGCACTCACAGAGAAGTGCCAGCTAATGCTCTCACCAGCATGGCCATTAAGAAGTCATTACTTCATTGCCTACAAGGATGCTGAGGCACAGAGAAGTTAGCCAAGGGGCTCTTGAGCCGGTGCAAACACAGCAGCAATGCTTCCCAGACAGCCTGGCTATGCACTTGTCACTTCTCTCCTTCCACACCCTCCTCAGCTGACCTTTGAGGTAATCAGTGGCATCTACCAGGTTTTCAATCAACATTTCCACATCAGGAATCACTCAGATTGCCTACTTTTCATATGGGGCCAAACTATCTTTCACACATCTGCTGTACATATTAGCATAAGCTGATCTCTGTCCCTAATTTTGAGCCCAGAAGGCCAGCACAGGACACTATTGTCTGCGCACTTATGCTAAAGGGCTAGGTGAATCCATCACATTGATGTCATCAAACAATGCCTGACTTGTGCTCAGGACAAAGCTGAGTAAATCAATCTCTGTCCTCGGAGTCTCACATGGGGGTGGGGAATCACCCGGGGACAAGGACATGGAAACAAGGAGGAAGGAGACTATTATTTAATGTGGTTTTGGAACAATCAGGGTTTAGCGGGTAGCATCTGGATCTAAAATTATTTTCTTGGTGCTCAGAAAAGAGATTCTTTGATAAGACCTGTGATGCACCCATTAATTTGACCCTAAGGTGCTGGTGGTAGGGGATGGCCAGTTTAAGGACAAAGCCTGGCTAGAATACATAGTCAGATCCTTTCTCAGAAAGAAGGACAAGAAAAGAAATACACAAGGTGGAAGGAGAGAGAAGAGAAAGAAGAGAAAATTCCACGGGGAGAGAACGGGAAAGAAAAGAGATGGGGAAGTAGAGAGTTGGGAACAAGAAAATCCCCCACTCAGTCTTATGAGAACCTAGAGAAAGAAGAGAGGGAAATGAGAGGAGAATGGTAAGGCTCAAAGAACGCCCCCAACCCATGTCAGGGCCCAAGAGAAAACTCACCAAAGTTAACACATACAGCCAGATGCCGTGGATAAACCACATCTTCGCCAGGTGCTTGAGGGTGGAGGGAATTTCTGCAGTGAGAAATTGCTGAATAAGAACCCATGCAAAGACTCCACTAAGAAGGAGGGCAGCCCTGCCAGCAGCAGCAGCCACAGGACAGCCATGACCCAGATGCTCCAGAGCCCCCAGCAGCTGTTGCCTGGGGACCTGACTTCAGAACTTCTGTGAAGGGAACCTGATCCTGTTTTACATGCCGCTGTCTCCACCCTCTCCTTCCAGGGTATGTCTGGAGCAGTGGACTGACCTGGATTCCAGAACTGCACAGAAGCCAGCCAATGCGAGATAGATAAATACGCTCAATAAACAAAAGGCTGAAAAATCTCTCCTAGATTTCAAGGAGGAACTGAGAACCGGGCTTTCACAGAACACAGATTTAGACTGTCACTGGCATCCCAGGAACTGTGGGTCCCAAGGAGAGGTAGACAAGGGCTACACAAGGCTAAAGACCTGGTGCTTCAGCTGTATGACATGGCATGTACTTCTTTCAGCAAAAGCCTGGCTAGGGTGAGCGGTGCACTTCCCATCCCAATTCTGTGCTTCACTGCTTCCAACTGTTTAGTGTTGCAATGCAGGACACAGAGATTTGAGGAAAATATTGTTACAATCATCAGTTAATAGTCAGCAAGGTGTTGAGCAGATAATGTAAGGCTCTGGCCACCAACCCTAACTGAAGAGATCGATCCGCAGTCTGTAAGGCTAAGGTTTCTTTATTCAGATAAACACCAGGCAAGCACAAGCCAAAGTGTGCCAGGGGCAGCCAGGCAGCCAGGCCACAGAGAAGGGGCTTCCCTTGTCACCTTTAGACCTCCCCTGACCACGCCCTCAGGACGTGTCCTGGCACACCTGTCTGGGCTACTAGGAGGCGGGGCTACAGTGTCTCCCTACAATTCCCCTTTTAGTCTAAAAGAGGATTAAAACTTAACAGTGTAAAGTATCCAAAACTAACAATCATAAAGGTGAAATACAAGAAGATACAATAATCTGTTATTGCACATCCTAACTATGTTTATTCCGGCTAAGCCCTAAAGTCACATGGAAAGGGTGTCTAACTTGAACACCTCCTTCCAATCCCAACGCTAAACAATAAGAAAGTTATTCCTAACTTGGCTTACACTACCCTAATAAACAATAATGGGGAGTGGGGGCATCACATCTTCTAAGTTACTTCCTGCTGAAATGGGACGATGGTAGCCTTGTGGGGTCCTGTGGGGGGAAAAATGCTAGTACAGGGAAAGTCTTTATTGGGTTATCTCCAGTCCATGTTAGATGGGATTTGCTTGAATGAAGATCTAGGTTGAAATCCTCAACTTGATTGAAGCCAGTACTCGAGGCTCTGGTCAGAGTGTCAGTCAAAACGGAGTGAGTTGAATCCAGTGCAGTCAGAGAGGTATGGCCCAATTCTTTTTCCGGAGCTTGCATGGATTGCCGTCAGGAGGGTCTTCATTGGCTGTATGGGACTCAAACATAAGTGTCAGCAGAGAAATGTTTGCTTGCACATGTATGTGTACTGGGAAAGGCAACCATTGGAAAATGACAATTATGAGAGGGTGTAGGCCTTGAAAGAAAGAGCCAAGAAAAGACAAAGATAGTCCTCCAATTCTTCATTTATTTTGTATTACAGCAATTGGCTTCTTGATATAACAGAAAAACTTTAAAATTTTGTTAAATAACATGCTTGGATTTTAGGGGAGGAAAGCCAAATCCAACTCTAAATCCAGCGTTGATTTAATTGAATAGGGACTAGGAAACGAAGAGAAATAGAGTTATTTGAGCTGTAAAGTTTACCGTATGGCACATTCCTTTTGGTTGATGGTTATAGCTACCTTCTTTCCTTTAAGTATGTATCCATGCAGTGTCCTTTGACTTCTGGAGGTGGATTTTCCTGTGAGGATAAAAACAAAGCACTTCCCATTTGTTTGGGAGGCTTTTATTTAGTTCATGAGATATACCTCAGTAAATACCTGTCAGTTGTCCGTGTCGAGAGGGTTGTCTTTTTCAATTCGAATCTTGATCAATTTTGATGGTATCCAAAGATTTTCTTCTCCTGTGGAAACAAAAGCAAAACCCCTACCCCAACGTAACACATGTCTGGGTTTCCATACCGAGGTCAGTACATCTTTGACATACACTGGTTGATTCAGTTCAGCAGTTTTTTTCTGTAGTCCAGTGTCTTTCTGTAGCTGTTTGTCCTTTGTCATTGGCATTAAGAAAGTTTAGTGTCAATAAAGCATTATGCAATCTATGTTTGGGGGGGTTTAGACTTACCAGCTTGCCTATGGATCATCTCCTTAAGTGTCCTATTAGACCTCTCAACAACTGCTTGTCCTGTAGGATTGTGTGGTATACCTGTGA